AGATTTTGTGTGCACTAAATACGGTAATATCGTCTTGAAAATTGGTCCCCGCTTTCGAGGAAACAACAACCCCCGTTATTAGCTCAGAAACAGGCGCGTGCCATATTTTCCACAAGCAGATGCATGGTGCGACCCCCTTACTTTCCTATTTATTTTTATCACGTAACAATTTAAATCCCGTTCCACCCAGAAACCCATTAAACCAATGTATTTAAATAATAACGTTAACAAGGGGTAAATAAATGAGAAAGACAATTTTCTGCACGTTTATTGTTAAATTTTGTTGCATTTACACAAATTAGTTTTAGACTGATCAAATATATTTCGACGAAATTAAATTTTTCACTCTATTACGCAATCAAATTAAAATTGACATAACCTCAATGGGAAATCAATGGAAAAGAAACAAAATAGTAACGCTTCTTTTGTGACAGTTTGCTTATTAAACTAAAATTAAAGATTAATTAATATAATTTATTGAGACAGCAAAAAGTAATTCATTTTTAAATCATTAATTAAACTAATTTTCTCTTTGTATTTGACAAAAAATGGATATATTAGAATATTATATGTGAATCATCGTAAGTCGAAAAGTTAGTGTATTATGATTTAATCAAGAAACAAGTCATAGTATGTTCATTAAATACAGGAAGCTTGAATAACTGAAATAAATTGTCTTACTGTTTTTCGGGCTTCAAGGAAGTATTCAACAGTTAGCGTGTTCCATCAAAATCTTGCTAAATTTTAATTAGATTTTCAGTTAATTGGTGTGCACGCACTTTGAAGTAAATCGGAAAGGGCAAAAAGGGGTGCGCGCGGACTCAGGATTTTCCCTTTTGTATAATTGCGATGCCTTAATGACATTATTAAAATTTACTTTGGAACCGGCATTAACAATAAGTATACGGTATAAATACATTACGCGTTCTTTCCATTACCAAACCTCGTCCAAGGGCCCCTCCCCCCTTACTTAAGACAATGATTTCAATAAATGGAAAACGGAGAACACTCAATGTTTATTTGTGCTTTTCAAATTAGGAACGATACTTTATTAAGCGGAATTTTATGAAATTGAATTTATAATCAAAAACGGAAATAATATATTTATAATCTAGTTTCAATAATGATTTAAAAGACAAAATTCAATAAAATGTCTAAATGAATAATAAAAACTTTACTATTAAAAACTGTTTTATAAGAAGCTAAATTAGTAATTAAGAAAATTTTGGGAATTAAATTTTTCTTCGTAATAAACAAAATTTGAAAGAAATTATGAAATAACATTAAATATCTGTTGTATTTAAAGAAAAATACAATATAAGGCCATACTTTTACCATTAACATTGATAAATAATTATTATTACGTAATATTAGTTATACCAAAAGATACGCAATATATAAGACCACAGTTTCAGTTTTGATACGAATATTTTATCATTAAGTGAATTGGTGACAAAAAAAAATGTAAAAATCAATTATTGATATTTCGTAATATCAGTTACAGAGAACAATTTGAAAATAACAGGAAAAACTTATAATAGTAAAAATATGTAAGAAATGTCATAGTTTTATCTTTAATATCAATTGAATTAATTTGAATAAATAATATATTGTGATCTATCAAAGAAAATTGTAGTATAAATACAAAACAAACGTATAAAAGTTAAAGTTAAGTTATAATTGTAACCAATTCAATATATAATTTATTATAAGTGGAAGTAATTAAGTGTACATAATGAAATTTAGTTAAATAATTTAATTTAACTGGTTTGCTCGTGGAATGCAAATGAATTATGAGTTTGCAAAAGTTTGTTGCATATAAATAATTGAATGTAATGAACAAATTCGGTTAGGAGTTAATTAAAATATTTGGCTTTGCGGATGGATTTAATTAGACAGTATGTAATTATGAGTTGATTAGTAAAAGGGTTCTGCGGGGTTCGCCAGACGTTTGATTAAGAGAATATATACAGTGGATATGGCTGGATATGTGTGTGTGTGTGCTTAAGGATACGAGATAGACAGGTTTAAATAGTTTCGGTTTGGAATAAAGAGAGAAGGAGATGGATAAACGTGTATAGATGGAAAGAGAGATGGAGAGCTGATGCGATGATATTGCTGATCTCTCAAGTTTGTTGGATTAGCATTCAGGAAGCCATTAGCTAAATGATGTGATGTATCTGCTGATTACTTCCAGCAGGGCGATACGCCTGGAACGGACAGATCGAGGCAGGGGCAGCAGGTCGGTATTAATAAACTATTGCAGGCAGCAACGCAAACATACAGACAGCATCGACGGCGGCGGAGGCAACATAGGAGATAGTAAATTTCAATTCCTGTTGGACCCACGCAGATTCCCGAAGAAATTAATTAACGAAATGGGTTGTTCGCCTATCCGTGGCGCATTTCGTTATTCCGATAGTGGTGGAGAGGAAGAGAGAGAAGGAGAGAGATAGTAGTGGTTGGTGAGGGGATTCCCCGCAAACGTACGATTGATCGAAATCCGGACCTCGCGATATTACCGACATGATATCCTCTTATTACCAGTGCCAAAGCCGGACCCATATTCCATTAGCCGCACGAGATATCAATATTCCATTAAGATATGTATCCATAATGCAGCGGCGATATGCCCATACCACCTAACCCATCTCCTTCCCCCATATCTATCTAGCTGCCTACCACCCTCGCTCACCCTTCGTATTACCGTGTCGATAGACATCGAATCATCGTTGCAACCAAACAAAACGAAAATCACCTACTCAACCTGATTAAATATTATCAATATAAATTCAATGCGAATTCACATGCAAACGTCATCTGTCATTGGTGCCACACATTCATTTCTCTTTTTTTTCAACAGTCGTTGTCAATATCACCACATCTAAAATTAGGCCCAATTTTAAAAAAATCTTACAATTCTATCTTCAAGTTTCTCTTCTTCGTAACGGGCGACATTAAATTTTAATTATAAACATTCAATGCTAATTCCCATACAAATGTCAACTGTCATTGCTGTCAAGGCAATACATTCAATTCTATTTTTTTTTTCAATGTTCGCTGTTTGTATCATAACATCCAATTCGAAGGTGGTCAGTTTGAAAATGATACTATATAAAAAAAACTTACAGTTCTACCTTCAAATTATTCCACTTCAAGTAAGAATTATAGAAAAAAATCAATGCGAATTTATATGCAAACGCATACATAATCTCCTTGGTCCACTCCAAATAGAAATATTGATGGTAGAATCGTTTCAGTGTGCTCATTCAAAGTTTAGGTGGCGGTCACCATTGAAGGGTCCTTATTGAATTACGTAATTGTCAAGCGCGGTTGTCCTGAAAAAAAATATAACCTGAAAATGGTGCACTTTCAGCAACCATACTTTGACAGAACGTAGTAGATAAACGCATGAGATCATTTGTCAACAATCCAATGACAAGAAACATGAAGAATGTAAAAAATATTGTTTGATTTTAAAATTTATAGATTGTTTAGCTGTTTGGAATGACAAAAGTTTTGGAATATGGTGTTTGGTTATGAAATATCCAATGTTGCTACACTAAATTCGCCTCAGGTCATTGCACTTGTTGATTTAGGACGTGGCGAGACCTGAACGTGGTAAACAAATATTTGCAATTAATTATCCAATATTTAGGTGCGCGGGTGTTAATAACTGCCGGAAGGATGAGATACTGTGAGTAATGATCGTTGCAGACCATTACTTGCACAGTCCAAGACTAGGTATATTTCTTAACCTCTTCAGCTACATCATATATAATACATACATGTATGGATGTATACATGTATATAGGTATACAGTGTGCAAGGCTTGCAGCTCTCAATGGCCACTTGTGGCTACCCTTCACACTTCACATGCACCCCACACTCTCCGACGCCAATCCGACCCCTCCGACGCAGCAACCATCCGCACCTCTCGCACCCCCGCATTGCCCATCCAACAGCCCGAACACAGATAAAGTGTACTCGCCTCGAGGGTCATCTGCAATCAGCTTGTTGAGCAAGACTTGCATATACTCAAAATCATTGCTGCGGCACGCATTTCTCACATTATGTCACATGTTATTAAGCTGAAACGCAAACATGCATAAAGCAATGACTAATTTCAGTTTAAAAACACATCTGATCGTCTTTATTTCTTACACCTTCAAAATAACTGATTTTTTTCTAATTGAAAAAGTTATAACTTTCATAAAAGCTGACATTAATTTCATCAATATATGCTATCAATCACTTTTAATAAATGTCACAGTTATGACAAGTCACAGTTATCACAACAACTAAATGTGCTTAGATCAACTTTTATATGATAAATCAATATAATTTTAAAAAAAAGTGTTTCATTGTCAATAACTAATTACTATCTAATCTCAGTGTACTAATTATTTTATCAATGCTCATTGACAATTAACACAAAATACGTAAAATAAAATACACATCATTATTTCATATAAATTATTCTTCTGGATTCCAATTATCAAGAAATTAGATGAGTTATTGTATTTGAACCATAAGTTGACTAGACGTAAAGTTGACGCAGTTTGTTAGCATTTATTGGTAATCAATTATTTTACTATAAGAAAAAAATATGCTAAAAAATAATAAAAAAAATAAATAAAAGAACAAATTACTTTTTTTGATATTTCTTCTTTTTTTAATTAAAAAAATATATGCTGGTGGTCCAAATTTGGCAACTTTTAAATATATTGTGAATCAATGATGAAGATGGAGTGTGCATTCATTTTTTGTAAACTGTAACTAACTATTTATTATATATCGTGTGCAGATTAATAAGAAATACAATCTGTTTTGACCTTGTTGTTAAATTTTCTAATTTTTAATCGATAATAAATTGAGTAAATAATTTTATCGGATAAACAATAAATAGGCTGCATTTATGAAAATTTCATCGGTCAGTGGATCAAAGTTGATAAAACATTTTTAATCCTTGAATTCTTGCAAGCGATTTTCCATGGATGAACGCATATATAATGAACGGAACAGCATTCCGTCGAATCTCTCATATCTACAAATGGTAAGTACCGATAGACAACAAACATTCGTTAGTGTTAATTGCTTGCATTGCTTCTTTTTCTTGTAGAAAGTTCTACTATTGTTGCTTTTGGTCTGTTGGCCCAGTGTTTGGAGTTACTCGCACTGCAGACAAGCAGTATGTCGACAATCGTCTTGCTGCGTCACATTGTCCTGCAGAGCTTGCTCCTCTTGTAATGATGATTGTAATGTTCCACCGTCGCCGTATCCAACTTTGCCGTATCCAACTTCGCCGTTACCACCTTCGCCCTCACCGACACAACCAGATGGCAGCAAAACAAACGTTGATAATAATGCGAAACATGAAACTAAAGTGGATAACAAAATAGAAATCAGCAATCGTGTCGACAATATGAACAAAATTGAAATACCTATTAATGTGAATAACAACAACGTCAATGTTATTAGTTATAGTCACAAATCATCTGCAACATCAGTTATAACACCGTATCCACCACATCCAACGCCTACACCACATCCAACGATCACAATACCTCCAGGAACGTATCCACCAACACCTCCACCAACGTATCCACCAACACCTCCACCAACGTATCCACCAACACCTCCACCAACGTATCCACCAACGCCTCCACCAACGTATCCAACACCGTATCCAACACCGTGTCCACAACCACCGTATCCGTCGTATCCACCGTATCCCCAACCGTGTTCACCACCATGTCCAGCGCCGTATCCAGCGCCGTATCCAGCACCGTATCCAGCACCGTATCCAGCACCGTATCCAGCACCGTATCCACATCCACATCCGTATCCTTGTTTACCCTGTCCACCGTGTCCACCGTGTATTCCACATATTTGGTCATCTTACCACCGCAAAACATGTGAAACATCATCGCATTGTATTCCATGTAACACTCAATGCCAGCAGCAGTGTTACCATAATAGATATGGAAGATAATTGTAAATCGCAAACTGAAAATTACTTAATTATATTCAGTAGTTTATGTATTTATGTAGAAGCTTCCCTTTTAATAAGCCATCAATGATATTAACGAATAAATATATTGCCAAACAAGATGTTCCGTTTAATCTAATCCCATCAAATACAATCTTCCAAATAATCGATTGTCGTTGTTAATTTTTAAATGTAATTTTGTGTCGAGTTCATTTCTTTCACAGCGACATTATATTTATTATTAGTCTTCAAATAAACGTGTCACTTCAATTTGATAATGTTTCTATAGCATTTGAGAACGAGTTAATTTAGTAAGTTGAGATGAAGCCAGTTTGTCAAATTTGTTATGTATTGGTTTAGATCATCTAAACTTTCAACTTAATCTAATATATAATAGATTAAATGTACTAGTTTTATTGATGTTTAAATTGTTGATTACTGAATTATCATCTATTATTTAACATGATCGAAGATGCAAATCTGAAACTAAACTGATATTGACTAAATGATGGAACTGTTTTCAGATCTTTCAAGCATTACGATAATCAAATATAAATGGATTCTATTTAATTCAGATTACTCTTGATTATTTTACTTTCTTTTTCGGTTTCATAAATAATAATGAACGCTTCGGAAACTTTAACGCCTTTGACAAAATGAAAGATTGATGAGACGAAGCAGACTAAAATAAAATAAATATATATGGAGAATGGTTGAGGATGTTTATGCATACAACAAATAGTAAAAGAACAAAAAAAAAGAAAGGAAGAAAAGAAAAACAACAAAAACAAAGGAACGAGGATGCGAGTTGGAAATGGTGGGACGTCGATAATGATTAGAGAAAGTTACCGGGAAGCGGGTCGTGAAGTATTCATGCTTAAGGTCCATCAAGTATGCACACGGTCCCGTATAAAAGGATTGGGGGATTCAAAATATCAACCGGTGGCATGAATCTTTAAGATCCTCGCAACCCCTCGCTCTTTCGATCAACTTCCACGGAGAGAAGAGACACGCGAGAAAAACAATCCAGTCATGAAATATAGATGGTGAGAGAGAGAGAGAGAATAAAAAGAAGAGAAAATCATAAAACATATATTTATATAGGAGAATGTTGACCATCTACTCATTTTTTTTTAAATTTAAAACAAAATAAGTAATATTTCAAGAAATACAATTACACATGGTAAAAAATGTAAAAATTGTGTCAATCGGTCCAATCAAAACAACTGTTTTTTCATAATCAATTGCTAGATTAATTGCAGATTTAACTAAAAATACTGTTAGGCCCTAGGCAACATAATTAAATTCCAATTTGAATGTAAAAGTGACAAGGATACTTCGTTTGTACATGATTTTTATTTATTGACTTTTTTCACTTTAGGCTGCTTTGATATCGATTCTTACCAGTCCAATTTAAGCAACTACTTGTGCACGAAAATTAGACAACTTAAAGAAATAAGCAATGATTTAATGACATATTTTACTACTTACATTAGTACTGTTTTATAAATCAAAATTCCCTATTTATTTCATGTTACGATAGTGGTCCAACCTAGGCTACAGTACATGCAATATACAAATAACAAAAATCAGAGGATCGTTGAAAAGAAAAGAGAGATGCGTTTACTTACTTCTTTGTGCAACTGGTTTTCCATGTGAAAACAGAGTTTTCCAAGTGAAATCGTTGCCGCGATATTCGTTCCATCTTTTCTATCCAGAGACGTATAAATAACCATCAATCTCCTTTAAAGGATATGTGTGTTCGCTTTCGCGGACGCTTTTTTTCGTATTCTTTAGCGTTTAGCTTATTTATAGAGGAGGATTCGGCCCACGTCGTCCTTTTTATTTTCATATATTTATCGGTCCCCGTTCGCGGGGCGAATTTATCTAGCAATTATCGTTCCGATTTCGCTCGGATATGCCGGACGGGATTTATTGCCCTGCACTCCGAAACGCTTAACCAACCTTCCGCCTCTCTTTCTCTCATACTTTCTAGCAATTTTTTTTGTTCACCCTCGTCCATAAACCGATTCGGAACAGCGCAAATAACACTCCCGTTGCAAAAAGATCAAGATCATTCTGTTAAGACAATTAGAATGTCTCCAAAACACAGACATAACTATTCCTTATGATCAATACTATAAACTAGATTTGTTTTATGAAGACTTTTAGTTCATAATTGACGCGTTTCTTAAAATATGTATTAAAATAATGGAATATAAATGGGAGTAACGTACAAATATATTTGATTTGTTGATACCTAATAAGTTTTATTATTACTACAATAGTTGAACAGAATAGTAAAAGGTAAATGTTAGCAGACTTGATATATGAATTATGACGAAGAAATCATTGTGGGTTGATTAAAAAGAAAATTGACTTTCCTTCGTGTGTAACAATGGGCATCCAGAGAATATACAGAATGTTGTGTGCGCAAAATATTATTATTCAAAGCGCAGTAATAACACTAGGGCCGAGCGACGGAAAAAAAGATGACGAGGGGAGAGAAAAAAATGCAATTCCGGAATGTAATATTTCTCTTAAAGGCAATAAACTTTTCCGGAACGAAAGTCAGAAATGAAAATGTGTACGTGTGTGTGTATGTGAGTATATGAGGAAGAGAATGGTTGGAAGGGGGTTTTGGTGCGAGGCTGAATGAGAAGACGAGTGTATATATATATATTCAACATACTTTTGTAGTAGTTCTTGCTGTTGTTGTAGGATTCCTGTGAGTGGTCTTATCTAAGGCAGGGCAATATATATTTGTTGTGCTCGTCTCCCGTTCTTTTAAAGGAGCCCCGGAATATATACAAAAGCCACTATTTCCTTTCTTCGTTCAGCCAAGCCAAACCAAACCAAACGAAACCAAGGCGAGACGAGTCCTAGTCGAGTCGAGTTGAGCCAAGCATCCAAACTACGAACCACCCCTATTTGCGGATGGGCAGCAGCAGTCTTAACAACCCTCCTCCTTCGTCGCCACCGTCGCCTCATCCGACGCCGACGTTCGATTGTCTGTTGGAATTGCTTCAAATTGCTTTTTCCGACCGCTTCCATAATGAACCACTCCAGGTTACTTTCTCCGCCAAATATCGATGTTTACGAAAACAACATTCGAACAACAGCACCCAAAAGCACCGAATACTCTCGGATAGATGAGAGAAACACGAAAACCAGATACAAACTCAGATTGCAGCTAAATAAGAAATTTTCAAACGGATGTGTATTTTGTTTGTATTCATATTATTATCCATAATATATGATAATACCTGCATGATTATTAATAATGTACAACCATTAATAACAATGGTGCACTTGTATCATGTACAAAAGTAATTGCATAATAAGGCTTCGATTAGTCCGGTTTGAAAATTTCAAAACTCAATTTGAATTGAGTAAAATTGAATTTCGAAAAAAAAAAATCTCAAAAAAACAAATATGCACGAATTACTTATCTACCAATATTTAAGAATTTTACACATGATATAATATCTTTACGTTTCATTTATTAAAGATAAAACTATAATATTTCATTTAATAATTCAAAATATTGTTTACATAATCTTAACTATATTTGTTAAAATTATTATATATTTTTTATTTGCAGAATTGAATAATAATTTGTTTTCTTCACCGATGCAAATTTGGACTGTGAAAATAAAACCATCATTCATCTTTTTTGGAATAGAAGTAGTTATTTTTAGATGTGAAGTTGAAGTGTACAAGCAGTAGTTCGACCAGTCGCGTCAACAAAATTATTCTGTTCAATTGAATTTCCACGAGGCGTAGCAAAAACGACTCCGGTCTTCGGATATGAATGGTTGTCGGATCGCTGTCCTACTATGCTAATTACGGCCGTGATGGGTTTAATTTAGATATAATGTCCTCGAGGACGTCCTGAATTAATGAACGTAACGTATACCCACTTTAATTGAGCTTAGATTAGATCTCCCTGCTCGCATACTCACAACCCGACTCACAATCTCGACCGAAATGTCTTTCCTTCCAATTCCGCAACCAGCCGCAGCCCAACACTCACCCCGCTCGAAACTACTTTTTGCGCAACAACAAAACATCATTTTCCAATTAAAACCATCCACCCTCCCATATCCCACGATATCAACTCCTCAATTATTGCGGATCAACTGGATTTATCACTTGCTATCTCGAACATATTTTCGTTTTTCTAAGGGTTCCGACTGAGAGTAGAAAATCGCTTTTTTTCCCTTTAAATGTGCCCCCATCGATACGTCAATTAAACGTTTCATTGTCGTTTTTATTATGCTAGGTGTCCCCCACGAGGCGGGGGTGTTGAGGACAGTTGCGTTTTACGATTCGCCTTTTTCTTGGGGGGATGGCGGAAATTGCCGGCCGAATGGGTGGGACGCGAGAAAAAAGGATCGGCGAAAAGGTGCTGAGCCGGAGGAAAACCCTTCGCATAAAAATTGTTTCCGAATGTTCCGATCTTATTTATAATTGAATCATGCTTCTGCGGCTGCTCCCTTTTATAACCCAACTTAATCGCATCTCGAACGATTTTCCTTTTTTTTCTTTCTAATGCTGCATTCACACTGAACAGGATACGAGACATACATATCTATCAGACGTACAATTGATTGACAAATGACAATAAATCTGACAATTAGTCTCGTATCATTTATAGTTTGGATGCAACATAATGCAAATTATTCTGATGATTAAATTTACTTTCATATACTTTCAAATAAGTTTTTAAGTCATGAAATTGAGAAAAAGTTGAATAAAAAATATATTTTTTAGCTTTTCAGATTATGAGAAGATAAATCCAATCTTCATGTCTTGTCTTTCAGAAAAGCGTGTCTAAAACTTTTCACCAAAAAAAGTAAATCTTACACTCAGAATAACATAATTACAAAATTAAACAATTACATTTACGCAGAGCGAAGATCTAAATTGTACATCTAAAGTATTTTCAGCGGAATGCCTGTTCTTGCGTGTCATTGTCTTGTAGATGATCCACCCCTCTCGTCCCATCTCCTTATCATAATTAGCAACTCGTAGTCTCTTTGGTATTCTTCGTAACTACATTTACGTACTCGTAACTGGCTTTCTTCATTCCACATTTGTAGAGCTTTA